AAGAATTGATGCTTTTGAACTGTGGTGTTGGAGAAGACTCTTGAGAGTCCCTTGGACTGCAAGGAGATCCAACCAGTCCATCCTAAAGGAGATCAGTCCTGGGTGTTCATTGGAAGGACTGATGTTGAAGCTGAAACTCCAATACTTTGGCCACCTGCTGCGAAGAGCTGAATCACTGGAAAACACCTGATGCTGGGAAGGATTGAGGGCAGGAGGAGAAGAGGATGACAGAGGATGAGATGGTTGGATGGCATCACCGATTCAATGGTCATGGGTTTGGGTAGACTCCAGGAGTTGGTGATGGGCAGGAAGGCCTGGTGTGCTGAGGTTCATGGGATCGCAAAGAGTCGGACACAACTGAGCGACTGAACTGAACTGACCTGATCAATAAAGGGTTTAAATGATATGTTTCAACCATCATAAATAATACACAATACTATAAAAAATTGTTTTTTAAAAGAACCAACACTTAGGAAAACACATTAAGAGAATATAGTAAGAAAAAAAATATTGCAAACACTTATAAGGGAAGTATATACACCTAGGAAAAATATTAAGAACACTCTAGTAGTTTTCTCTGAATGGCAGGGTTCTAGAAAATGTTTTCACATTTTAAACATTTTTGAATTTTCTAAATTTCCTCTAAGTGCTACAATCAGGAAACAACTGAAAAAAAAAAAAGATAGACTACATTTTAGAAATCCACTCCTTTTTGTACTCCTTAAAAAAAAAAAAAAAAACAGACTTTTAACACGGGTGAGAACCTTGTATTTTCCTGATACATCATTTTCCCCAAATACTGATGCCTACAGAGTATCCCAGATCACCATTAAGCATTCAGTGAAACAACCACAGCACTCTCAAAAGTGTGTGTGTGTGTGTATGCACAAATATACCTTAAAAAACATACAATAAAAAATATACAATAGTTTATAACAGCTATTTAGTTACTGAGCAGTGAGACTGTAAAGCCTGGAATTTACATACTTAATATTACAACGAGGCTCCTGAGATACACTTCTTTCTAAAATATTCAATAAAAAATGCTTCTTATTCATTCATACAAAGTAAATATTCTGTTGATAAATTCCCAAAGAAATTCAAATATGTTAACATACCTTAAAACTAAGACACTATAAAAGACACATCTCAAACCAGATAACATCTCAGAAAAGATGTTATTTAAACCTACATGTGAGTAAAAATACGGTGAATAGAGACAGAGATAAGAGAGGGGAAAAAGGAGTCTCTTTATAGAGTCGGAATTTTTTGTACTCATATCCCAAGAAGGTACAATTAAAACAGTTCATAAAAATCAAGCCAACAAAGATTTTTGAAGAGAAACAGAACTGAAGATTCAGTATAATTACTAGTGTAACATATTTTTTAGGCAAATTAATGCCTTACAAACACCTGTACACGTACCTGGCAGAGCAGTTATGAAATCCCTCTGCAACATAGGTTTAAGATATGAGTTTATGTGCCCATGTTGGTAATGACACATTTGGGATATAAGATGTTCCACAAATTCCACTTGATCGGACTCTGACCACTGCTCAAAATATTTGACACACAGTTCCTTTTCCTTCTCATAGCTTGCCGAGAGTTTCCGCTGCTTGGGCACAATCATACTGGAAGTGCCATTGGCAAGTTTTGTCTGCAGAAGAGGTGGATTGAAAGAAACATGTAACAGTCAGTATTGAAATAAGGGAAATTATATGATTTTCCAGTCTGGCATGCTATGTTATGTATGTCTGTTTGATGGAGCTCACTCTGTTATTTTATTAGTAACTAGATGTTTGCAAACAGCAATTATATGGAAAAAGCCACAGAAATAACCACAGTAAATTGGTAAATCAGGAATACTGTTGGATGACAAGGCATCCATTTCCAAAAGTTCATAGGAAAACATTATTTGGAGATATGTAGATGAAAACCAATGAAAGCATGTTATGACTAGCAAGCAAAAATGCTAATTTGCTTTTTCTTGTATATACCCGTTACTGTGCATTTATACAATTACTTACTCACAACTTATTTTTTAATAGTTAAGAAATCCTCCATGCAAAGAAAAGCCAATGAAAAATTTGAGACCCCGGTACCTTTAGAGATAAAGCTTAAATAACATCAATGCTCAATATACCCTTTTCTTCTCCCCACTCCTCCCAAATCCTGTTGTCATCAAAATTATATGCCATAAAGTCTTTAATATTAACTGGTTCATTCAATAAATATTAGTTGAGCATCTATAATGTTCTAAACACTGTCCCAGGTGCTAGGAATACAGCACTTAACAAAAATAACATAGTTTCTACCACCAATAACTCACATTATAGTAGGTATAGCAAGCTAAAAACATTACCATACAAATAATGAAGAAAAATAATGCAGGATAAAGGGATAGAAAAAATAATGCCATTTTGACAGGCAAAGAAATTCTTCTCTGTTATTCAAACCAACATGTAGGTACTGCTGTGACTTAATTAAGGTCCCAAATCAGGACTTTAAGAGGGAGATTACTCCAGTGGGTGTGACCTAATGACACGAGGACTTTAAAAGCAGAGGTTTTTTTTTCCAATTGGTTGCAGAAGAGAAAGGGGACCACCAGGCTAGGAATTTGATCAGCCTTAGGGGCTGAGAGCATCTCCCAGCAGACAGCCAATCAGAAAATGGTGACCTCAATCCTACAAAGGCAAGGAGCCGAATTTGCCAACAACGTGCTGAGATTTCTCTCCCTAAATGAGAACTCAGCTCAGACCAACACATTGATTTCAGCCTTGTGATACTGGAGCAGAGAACCCAGTCTTGCTATATCAGATTTCTGACCTAGAGAACAGTGAGCTAATGAACAGGTATTATTTTAAATTGTTAAGTTTGTGGTAATTTGTTATGTAGCAATTAAAAAAAACCACAATGCAACAATTTGGTCACAAAGGACTCCATTCCTCCCTGAATATAAATTCTGTTTCTCCTCCCATCAAGAAGTAGTTTGTCCCAGCATTTGAATCTGGGCTTTGACTAAAAGAATGCCGAGAAAGTAACATTCTGGGACTTCTGGGCTTAGACAACTTCTGCTTACTCTGCCTTAGAGCCCTGAGCCACTACGTAAAAAACTGAGGCTACTCTCCTGGAGAGGATGAGAAGTTCTGCAGGAAGAGGTCACATGGAGAAGCACCTAGAAGCCTGGGCATTACATGATCTGAAACCTTTTAAAAGGATCATCGCTATGTGGAGAATAGGCTGTAGAGGACATGAACAGCAATCAGGAGACTAATTAAATACCTGGCTACTTCACAGTAGTCCACGGAAGAGACAACAATCTTTTGGACTATGTGGCAGGTATAGATGTGGTGAGAAATAACTGGGATTCAATGTATATTTTGAAGGCAGAGTCAAGTGAATTTGCTGATCAACTGGATATATAGGGTATGAGGTGGGGGGTGGGGAGAGACAAAGATTATACTCAAGTTTGAAGCTGGGGAACACTAGGAGAAGATTCAATAATCAACTGAAAATTTTGCTGCTCTAAAGAAAGCTGATTTTCTTTAGAGGATAACCACAAAGTGGCAGGTACAGCTAGGTACTTATACCACTTTTCAAACTAACTTGATGGATCTTTGGCATATTTGTCTGAAGAAATCCCAATGTGGCAAGAAGACCTGAGTAACTATGGAGTTCTTACCTGCCTAAACATATTGAATATACCATCCAACTGTACCAAATTTGGATAATCAACTTCTGCTATTAAAGGCACAGACTTGGTTTAATTTCTACAGGTTAACTCCTACACATAGGCCTCTTTACAAATGACTTCCAATACATAGCTGAAAGTATATTTCCTTTTTTTGGGGGGGGGGGGTCTAGATTATATTACTGATACATTTTAATAAACCACAAAGAACCACCACAGATTCTAGAAGCTGTCTGTCTGTGCTTAAATAAACATCTCCTGTAGCATCTGTTTTATTTTTAAATTTATTTATTTTTAAAAAAACTTTTTTTTTTTAAATTGGGATATAGCCAGTTAACAATGTTGTCATAGTTCAGCTGAAAGTATATTTTCAAGAATGGCATTAGCAGGATTTCCCTGGTGGTTAAGACTCTACATTCCCAATGCAAGGGGCCCAGGTTCGATCCCTGGTCAGGGAACTAGATACGACATGTTGCAAGTAAGAGTTCCTATGCCACAACTAAAGATGCTATACACTGCAACAAAGATTGAAGATCTTTGAGTGCCACAACTAAGGCCCCGCACAGCCAAAGAAATAGAAAAATATTTTTTTAAAAAAGGAATGGCATGAACCATTCTATTTATACAGAAGGAATAGGCACTATGAACAGTAAGCCCTGGAGGAGGAGCCAAGATGGCGGAGGAATAGGACGGGGAGACCACTTTCTCCCCTACAAATTCATCGGAAGAACATTTGAACGCTGAGCAAATTTCACAAAACAACTTCTGATCGCTAGCAGAGGACATCAGGCGCCCAGAAAAGCAGCCCGTTGTCTTCGAAGGGTTGTAAATCCATGGCTAATTCATTTCAATGTATGACAAAAACTACTGCAATGATGTAAAGTAATTAGCCTCCAACTAATAAAAATAAATGGAAAAAAAAAATGAACAGTAAGCCCTGATGTACACAGAGCTGGATGTTTTCCAGCATAAATACCATTTTTATCTATGATATAAGACCAAAAATGATTAATAAGAACCTTGTTGGACACAGGCATTGAGGGACTTCTGGGCTGTTTTGTGTAGACTATTTGTTTGCATCTCAGGAAAGGAAAACTTGTGAAATATGGAGTAAGAGTTTGAAAGCTAATAAATAGGTGGGTTTGCAAGCTTGACCAAACACTTCTCATCCCAACAACCAAAACTTATCATCATCTTTTATACATTTGTCTTTTAAAGGAAGAAATAGATTGGAGTTGGATGCCACCAGAGTATTGTATCCTGGATAAAGACCAGAAACGTCAGTCACAGAGAACAATAATCAGAAAGGTAATGAAAGTGTTTTGTTTATACTGTAAATAAACCAGATATTACTAAAATAATGGGGTTCATGCTTTGATCAGTGTCTATTAGACTATTAACAGATAAAAGTGCTAAAGGATGTCACAAATTGATTATCCCACTGCAGGAGTTAAAGTTCAGTCAAGACTTTCTCATACTTTCAATGATTCAACCATAAATGGGAGTTAAAACACTATTAGAAATGAAGCATAACCCGAGAGTTCATGTATTTGCCAACTGTCCGCTGGTAATACACTCTAGTCACCGCCCCTCAAAACAGAGTATTTCATTGCAGGTAGAAAGACATATACCTTAGATCCATCATCACTTCAAATGAGTTTACCACTACACCACACCACATTGTTTTAAGAGCACTAGCCTTAGAGTAGAAAGACCTGGCTTCAAATCTAAGCTCCTCAATTTACTAGTTATGTGACATAGAATAAATAACTTGATTTTTCTCTGAGTCTCTGTTTCACTCATCTGTAAAATGGGGCCAATTACAGAATCTATTCCACTGGGATTTTGTGAAGATCAAAATAATCTAAGCATGCTTAGCTCACTGCATGGCACAGAGTAAAGTGCTCAGTAAATCGACACTCTTCATGAATTTATGACACTGCTGGAGTTATGCTTTCTTTCTTTTTTTTTGAAAGTATATCATTTCATTTCACTGGGTAGTATGTCTTTCTATTTTAATTTTCAATGAAGTATAATGTATAGTATACGTAAAAGTACATAATCTTAAGTGTATAACTTGATGAATTTCCACAAGGTGAGCATACTGTGCAACTAGTGCCTTGGTCACAAACTCTGCCTTGAGCTCCTTTTTTCAAGTCACTAGTCCCTCTAAGGGTAGCCACTATACTCATTTCATTAAAATACATATATTTAAAAAAACTGCCTATACAATTTACAGTAGCATTAAAAAACATGTAATTCTCAGGAATAAATCTGACAACATACATGTTGCTGTTGTTCAGTTGCTCAGTTGTGCCCAACTCTTTGCAACCCCATGAACTGGAGCATGCCAAGCTTCCCTGTCCTTCACTATCTCCTGGAGTTTGTTCAAACTCATGTCCATTGAATCAGTGATGCCATCCAACCAGCTCATCCTCTGTTGTCCCCTTTTACTCCTGCCTTCAACCTATCCCAGCATCAGGGTCTTTTCCAATGAGTCGGCTCTTTGCATCAGCTTTAGCATCGGTCCTTCCAATGAATATTCAGGGTTGATTCCTTTAGGACTGACTGGTTTGACCTCCTCGCTGTCCAAGGGACTCTCAAGAGTCTTCTCCAACACCACAGTTTAAAAGCATCAATTCTTCAGTGTTCTGCCTTCTTTATGGTCCAACTCTCACATCTGTACATGACTACTGGAAAAACCATAAATTTGATGATATGGACCTTTGTTAGCAAAGTAATGTCTCTGCTTTTTAATACGCTGTCTAGGTTTCTCACAGCTTTTTTTCCAAGGAGCAAGCGTCTTTTAATTTCATAGTTGTAGTCACTGTCTGCAGTGATTTTGAGGCCCAAGAAAACAAAAGTCTGTCACTATTTCCATTGTTTTCCCATCTGTTTGTCAGAAAGTGATGGGACTGGATGCCAGTTTTCTCAATGTAGAGTTTTAAGCCTGCTTTTTCACTCTC